TGTCCACCAAAAGATTCCACTGCCACCTGTTCGTTGCATCGACATAAAAGACAAATCTTGCCTGCTACCAGTCTGCTCGAAGATTCCGCCAGAACCAGCTGTCCACTACGCTGACATGTGCCGACAACCTTTTAGTCCCTTCAACTCCCTATTCAAAGTTGCTACCACTGTACAATGATGCTGCCGACAACTTTTCGGTCCCCTATTCAATAGCTTTAAACAATATCGAGACACTGTGGAAGATTCCAGATTGATACCGACTAATGAAGAACAATTGATAATTGCTTGGGGTCCGAGGCCTATAAATACAAAGACCCTCCTCATTTGCAAGGCATCCGAAGCTCCTTTCTCTTCTCTCAAACTTTCTCTCCTTCTCTTAAGCCTTTCACCTTCCTCTTCTAGAAAGCTCTTCCTCTCCACTCTTCGAGTCTCCTAGAAACCATCTCTGAAGATCTCTGCTAAGCTCAAGCCTTCCTGTGCAAGAGCTACTCTCGGGTAATATAATACTTTGATACATTCTCTTGTGCATCTATACTCTCTGCAACTCTCACCCTGATATATTCTCTTGTGCATCTATACTCTCTGCAACTCTTTGATACATTCTCTTGTGCATCTATACTCTCTGCAACTCTCTGATATATCTCTTGTGCATCTATACTCTTTGCAACCCTCAGATATATTCGCCTGTGCGTCCATACCCTTTGCAATTCTCTCTCTTTCTTTGTAACTTTATTCCTGTCATGCTTCTTTCTCTGTAAAAATTTTACTTATGTACTGTATATTGGATGCTGTATCAAGCCACACCGAGTCTTTTTGAGTAAATGTAAAATACTATATGTGTGATTGTAACTTTCCAACCCTACCGAGCTATTGTCCGGAGGAGTGGAAACTCTTTTCCAGTTACTGCAAGTATGTATTGTAAGTATTTCTTAAATTAAGTTCTTTTTAGTAACATGTTTTAGTATGCAAACAAAGTTTATTTTAAGTATTAAAGTTAGGGACATTAATTATACAAATTGGGTCGTACTTGATATCTCGCCTTTCTCTCTATTTATTGTTATCACTATGCTTCTATATCTTGGATTCCTTAGATTTATTGTCTAAATATCATGTCTAATTACTATATATTGATAAACTGTGTTGATAAGCTATTGTGAAGCT